ACTTTACCTCCCTCATAGAATTATAAGGATTAAATGAGATTACCCATAAAAAGCCAAATAAATAACAATTTGAGTGAGTGCTCTACTGCTGCAAAAGCATGCATCAGCTATTCAACTGGGCTCTCCATCCGTCTTCCCTTGACAAATAAGAAAGACATTGTAAGTAAGAAGACGTGGTTCTGTGAAGTACTGCAGCTTACCAAAAGATGCAGAAAACCTTTCTATTTTAAGGAATGGGCCCGTTTCCTGATAAGTTTGAAACTAGTTATCAGTATTCTGCTATTAAGCTAAAGAGGCATCTCTTCCAACTGAATTCACTCCCAGGGAGGGATATGTAGTGGATGGTGGCTTTGCTTTTGAGAGGCAAGATTATACACAGACCCTCTGAATTCAGGCTGCAATGGGTCAGTCCCCAGGCTTATTTCTATCTGGATAGACTATTCTAGATAAATATTTTAATTCTAGAAACTTCTCTGTAAAATTTATGTTGTGCTTTTCTACATAGGGCTATCTCACAGCTGTGTTTACTTAGGAAAGAGTATCTGTGATCACCATAAGGTGTGTCTTCTCTGTCTCTGCTTATCTGACATCCTTTATCAGTTCTTTATATTAGTGAGGTAACTCTAAGGAAGGGTAGACAGGCACGTAGTCATGTCTGTTCACCTTGCATTCAGCTTCTCCTACCTGGATGCTCCAGTTTGAGAGGAAAAGAAATAGCACAACTCTTTTTTTAATGCCATGCATATATTCTTTCAGGCCACAGATGTTTATTGAGCACCCACTGTATGCTGATAAGACGCAAACTTTCCACCTTCCACAGCTATTTATGCCAAATGAGTCATTGTCACTATAATCTTGTTGTTCCTGTTGTCATTAGTGCTCTGCTCCACAAAAGAAAACACTGCCCCATCCTGTGCCACTCTCACAGCTGCTGTTGTGCTTGAACCCAACACTTGTTCCAGTGCGTGTTCTAACCACTGCATCAACCCATCTCTTTAAGGATCTTCCTCTTTTCTGCTGACTCTCTGCTTTACCAACATGACATTTTTCTCCAGGGACTGGCTCCGCTCCTACTGGTAACATGCCTAAAGAATGTGGGACGAAATCTCGCCATCCTCACTGCTAAGGAACATTCTGGCTGCACTTCTTTTGAGATAAATTTTATTTTGTAGCTACCATATATTGAGAGGCTCTATTGGGAGAAGGATGGGCAGTCTCCTTCTGTGCAATTTACTGCTTCTGAAAACCTGCTGAAGGGTCACGTATGACTCAATTACAAACAGCAACAACATTATGTGCTAAAGGAGCCCTGGTAGCATGTTGGGCTGCTCACCTAAGGGTTGTCAGTTCTAATTCTCCAACTCTTCTACATGAGTAAGATGGGCACTCAACAGCAATGGGAATTTGAGTATTATGTGCTAAAGATACCCGGAGTGGGGAGGTTAAAGCAAAAAAAATGGTGTAAAAACATTCATCTGACAACAGAAAAGTTAGAAGCTCAAACCCACTCGGGCCTGGCGCTCTCCTCCTGAAAATCAGCCATTGAAAACGCTAAGGCGCACAATCCCATTCTGACAAAGAAGAAATTGTGGGGAGGTAGAATACACTACACAGCAAGTACAGTCTTGTTATTATTACTTCTTTATTATATTCTAAGTATTTAAGTGCTTTGTTACTAACCTTTGAAGTACTTGACAGAAGAGATAATATTTTTCTATTTGACAGAATAAATGATGTGTAAAAAGTTCAAATTATTTATATGTATATATGTGTGTAGGGAGTGCTGGTGGCCTAGTGGCAAGAAGTTACACTGCAATCTTGAAGGCACCTGGTTTGAGGCCATCAGTTGTTCCACAGGAGAATGATGGACAATCTTCTCCCATGTGATTTACCGCCTCTGAAAACCTGCCAGAGGATCAGCTATGGGTCACTTCTGGCTGTATGGTACACCACAATAATAACGTGTGTTGTATGGTACACCACAATAATAACGTGTGTGTGTGTGTGTGTGTGTGTGTGTGTGGTGGGAGCAAGATGAGCAATTTCTTTCTATGTGATTTACTGCTTCTGAAAACCCCCTTCAGAGTCAGTTTTATAAATTATATATATAATTGTTTTTGTTATGTGCTGTCAAGTCACCTGTGACTCATAGCAACCCTATGCACTATAGCTCTAATCCCTGTCCTATCCTGAGTCAATCTCACTGTCTCTGACACACCTACCCTAATTACCCCAGTTACTATGTAAATTCATCTCCTCCAGGGTCTTCCTCTCTTGTGCTGTCCCTCTACTCTCCCAAGCATGAGATCCCTCTCCAAGGACTGGTCCTCCTGGTAACATGCCCAAAGTATGTCAGACAGAGCTTGCCTCCAAGAAGCAACTTCATTTCACCCTCTCTATAGATAAATTCATATATAAATACTTATATAAATATAGGTGTATTTATATATTGTTGTTGTTTTTGTTAAGTGCCTTTGAGTTGGCAATACAAGGAGCTTTGGTGGTCTAGTGTTAAGGAGCTTTACTGTCAATTCAAAGGCACGCAAGTTTGAGTCCACTTATTGCTCAGTGGGAGAAAGATAGGCATTCTCCTCCTGCACAATATACTGCCTCTAAAAAGCCACTGGAGGGTCAACTATGAGTTGGTTCTGACTCGATGGTATATGACAATGATAAACACACACATATAATGTACCATTGCCATTGTTGTTATTGTTATTGTCGTTGTTGTGTATTGTCAAGTCGGAACTGACCCATAGCTGACTCTCCGGCAGGTTTTCAGAGGCAGTTGATGGCACGGGAGGAGATTGCCCATCCTTCTCCCATGGAGTGACTGGTGGCCTCAAACTTCTTGCCTTTGGGATTGCAGTGCAGGTTCTTGCACTAGGGCACCAGAGCTCCCTGTGCAAGCTCCCTGTGTTAGGGGTATACAAAGACTTTCCAAGGAGTAGGCAGGCATGAATAAACTTAAGGGAAAAAATTTCAAGAGCCTCATGCAACTCTACAGCACACAACATCTGTCACGTGTGCTATCTCCTTAAGCTGATATTCTCTGAAGAACCTGCCTGTTACCTCTTTTCTCCCTCAGTATTACTCTGTTGTCACTTTACAAAAGAAATGAGGGGGTTGGGGAGAGAAGAGCACACATGTTTCTCCTTTTTAAAAAAATCTGACTGTAGAGCAGTGCCAAGGAGTACAAACAGCCCTTTATGATGAGCACAGCTAGATGACTTCAGATTGTGACCAGCACTATAAATAAATGAAAAAAATAGAATGATGTGTGAGGGACAATGGCATTAGATAGGGTAGAAGGTACTTAGGTGGATATCTAAATGATCAAGGAGTCCACTATTTGAATCAAGGATCTCAGAAATGAAATCAGCAAATGTAAAGCTTCTGAGGAAGAAAGGAGTCATGACCATCTAAAGGTCATTTATGTTCCACTGTTTCAGAAATTTTTTATTTCTGAGGAGGGTGCTTCCTTTGAGCAGTATTTGCCTCTTCTCTGCCTTGCCCTACACACGTCCAGATTGTATTTGCTACACAGAGTCTGACAAGAAGGGGGGAAGTATATTGTGCCAAAAATGGTCACTGCATGGCATTACGGAAAGTAAATAGTTTTATGTTTGCCTGGGCTTGAACAGATTCTAAGACCTCTTTTTTGAGTCCACTCTCCCAGGGTTGCTACTCCCACATGTCTCCCCAGCCCTGCCCTGAACCTGTGTTCTGAGCAAGTACCTCCAGATCTGCCCTGATTGTGTTTGTGTATGTGTATATGTGTGTGTAGGAGGGGAAGATGGGTTGAGAACTACCATGGAGACGTTTTCAATCATGTGGAGATCCTCAAAATTCTTACTATTTAAAGGCTCTGCACCCATCCATCATATCGCTCTCAATATGCCTAATATTTTGCTGTAAAACATTGAATTTTGAAGAATGTCTTTGAAAATGTTTGATTACCAGTACAGTACTAAGAACCATTTTTCATAGGATTGCTATGAGTCGTGGTGAGCTAGACAACATCTAACAATAACAACTTGTTTAATTATGATTTGTTTATGTATTGATTATGTTATGTGTCCTTTAGTCCAGTATGACTCACCGTGAACCTATGAACAACAGAGCTGAAGCCTGTGCTATCCCCATCGTTTCTCACCCGCGTGAGTCCACTGCTGCAGTCAATATATTAATCCATCTAGTTGATTGTCCTCTTCCCTTTCGCTGTCCCTCCACCTTTCCAAGCATGAATAGCCTCTCCTAACAACATACCCAAAGTACATGAGATGAAGCTGATTAGGATTAATCGTGATAAACGGATATATCTGAAATTACTGAAAAATTAGGAACTCTAACCTTAACGTTTGGGCTGGTTTTATTTCAGATGTAACGAAATTCTTATGAATTAAAAAATTGTATCCATTAAGGAAGCCCCTATGTCATTCATAGTGTCCAGGGATTGAAAAGACCCTGCCCTCCAAACTAAGAACTCTGGAAGTTCCCTTTCATCCCATTCCACCCTTAGTTGCCCCTTTAAGCTCAGGCAGAGATCTCTGTAAGCTTTAAGGGACCACCTGCTGTGGAAGTTGGCCTCAGAGTCCCTGAATGAAAATTCGACCATGAAGTCTGAAACACATGCAGTTTATTGAAGGTACAGAAGAGAGTCCTTTTTTGGAACCACAAAAGGACAAGTACCACTCACAGGAATTAAAGCGCCAGAATGAAACGGAGCTCAAGGGAGCCACGACCTACAATGAAGAAAATTATGGGCGGGGGCTGGCTGGGACTTTCCTATAAGGAGGTGGGACCTGGTGTGGGTCATCTGCCAGGAAGGAAGCGTGGGATGGTCCAGTTCCTGGCACTGCTAAATGGCCTAGCCTTTGAGGGCAGATGCTTCTGAAAATGTGGGGTGCAGGAGAGCCCACCAGAGAATCTGAGTGTCTCAAGAGAGAGAAAAGTAGGCAGAACTGAGGGGTGCTGGAGCAGCGGGCTGGGGACTGCGTTCAGAACTTGTGGTGGGACCGCTGGCTCTGAGAGGAGCTCTGGGAGGAGCTCTGCGAGACGCGATTGGAGCTGCTGCCGCTGCTGCCGCCTCCGCTAACCGCACAGGAACCCCCGGACGTGGAAGTGGAGCTACCCCCGCGCACTACAGAGCTCCCGCCTGAGCCCAGGCCCCCGGGGCTGCCGCCGCCGCTGCGCCCGGGGCCGCCCAAGCCCGCGCTGCCGCCGTAGGAGCCGCTGCCGCCATAGGAGCCGCTGCCGCCGTACGAGCCGCTGCTGCCCCCGCTGCCGCTGTAGGACCCACTGCCGCCCCTGCTGCCGCCATAGGAGCCGCTGCTCCCGCCGGAGGAGCCGCCCCGGCCTCCGCGGCCACCAGAGACTCCGCCTCCGCCGCTGCTGCTGCTGCTGTTGGTGTTACTGACCATCTCTGCCAAGAACATTAGGGTTAGGGGCCAACTGGAGTATCCCCCCTGTCCTTCCCATCCTTCCCCAGTCTTTCCAGCAGTTCTCGCCAGGAAAATATCTCTCTGAAATTCTACTAAGAGCGGGAAGGACAGATTTTAGGAAAAGAGGGACAATTGGCTCCTCTGGTACCCAGAACCACAGGGTCACTCCTAACACCACCCAGCAGCTTACACCAGTGGCTGGCCTGTAGTTTGAGAACCATGTTTCCAACGCGTCCAGTCCCTTCCCAGAGAAAGCCCCCAGTGCTCACCGATGCTAACTGCACTCTGGCACTCCCCAGACATCCTGTGGGGGAAAATAGAAATCACTGTTAGCCATCTGCCCCCAGCATTTCCTTCTTTCCTCTGTATTGTCTTCCTTGGGTCAACAGCAAGGCAAGCCTTCACCCTCCCGACCTCTCCCTGATTTGTCTGGAGAATAAGGCTGGAAAGGTGCTCAGAAATCATGAAATGCATTTCTCTTTATATTGGTTAAGACTTCACTTAAATTGTTAACCGTTTCCACAAGCGTTTTCCCAGAGAGTAGCAGACTGGAAGATTAATCCTCGATTTTCCTATCCATTCTAATTCTCAAGATTCTCTTTATTTAACAAATACTGCCTAGACCCGCATGAGGGCAGAGACAGAGACCAGCCTACAAAAATTACATTTAAGGCAACTCAAGCGCATTGCCATAAAGTCAGAATGGACTCAGAGCAGACCATCCATCAGGGTCAGCAGGCTCTAAATTGCATGGAAGGAAAATATCCTTCTTTCTCCCACAGAGCCCTTGGTGGATTCAAACCAGCTGAGAATTGCAGCCTTTAGATTAGCAACCCAGCTCCTTATGGACTAGGCCACCAGAACTCTGTATTAAGGCAACAGTGAAAGTGTTAAGTGACCTAGAAATAATATTTATATCTATTATTTCTCCTCTTAGCAGATAGATTTTACAGCTAAAATATGAGAGGAGAGGGTGAAGAGTGGGGGAAATCTACCCAAAATAAGGCTCTAATGGTGTTCAGTGTCACACAGGCGGAAACACAGCATGTCTGCAGATCTGGCAACATCTTACAGCCTCAGCAGGAGTATGTTGTTCCTGCCAAGGACCACCACCACCTTCAGACTTGCACATTTATACTTACGGACATACTTGTATGCACACACAGAGCCTGAGGACAGGCTCTGGCAGGAAAGCTTCCAGGCTCTGGACCTCCTGTGAACCAGGTAGACTATTGCTCACCTGCACTCCTCACCCTCCAGGAGGGTACGGTAAGTGGCGATCTCCACATCCAGGGCCAGCTTGACATTCATGAGGTCCTGATACTCTCGCAGCAGCCGGGCCAGTTCCTCCTTGGCCTGCTGCAGAGCGGCCTTGAGGTCCTGGAGCTTGGCATTGGCGTCCTTGAGGGCCAGCTCCCCACGCTGTTCAGCATCAGCAATGGCTGTCTGCAGATTGGCATTCTGGGAAGGGGGGAGACAGGAGTCCAGTTAAGATTCAGGTAGCCGTTGCTGACGGCCTGCTGTGTGTGCTTGGTGCTTGCACATGCATTACTGTACACTGAGCAAATGAGAAACCTCCAAGTCAGAGAGGTTAAAAGATGTGCAGTTCTTTGGTAGTGGAGCCTGGACCTGGATATAGGTCCTGAGTTACATAGGGCAAGCATAAGCCCACATCTTATCCATGTGTTTTTCCTCCTCATTCTCACCTGCTTCTTGACACTCTCAATCTCTGCCCTCAGCCTCTGGATCATTCTGTTGAGCTCAGAGATCTCACTCTTAGTGTTCTTCAGGTCATCACCATGTCTGCCGGCCGTGGTCTCCAGCTCTCCCAACTGTCCAGAAAAGAGTCACACCTTCAGAAAGCCATCAAGAGCCTTTTAGGTCGCCCTGTCCAACCCCTTCAGGTCACAAACAGGAAAGCTCAAGTGAACAGTATGACCTGTGTTAGATCAGCCATTTGGAGGCTGAGGTAAGGAACCAACTATTCTGACTCTACGCACTTTCCCTGCATCAGAGGACCTGGCATCTATACAGTAACTTCCATTTGTTTCTGTGCCAAATCCTATGCAGTATCTCATTATTCCTCATAACTGCCTAAAGTAATTATTATTCACCTTTTATATACATTGCCTGAGTATGGTGACCAAGGTCACCCAGCTATCTAGTGACAGTGGCAGAGTTTGGATCAGATGTTTCATGAGCTGGTGTCTCCTTGACCAGTAGACTGCACTGCCTTGAATGGACTATTCCGGAGTGAAAGGGTCATCTGGCTCAGGTTTGGGGAATGAGAGGACAGTGTACAGAATTTATTACACCAATGTAATCAGGATTTACTCAATCTTCTCTCACTTCTCCTTCCCTTTGTTGTTCCACACACCAGATTCAACTCCTCAGTGTGAGAACATTAAAAAGCACCCATCAATATGAGACCAGATTGGTGCCAGAGAAATAGGGGTTTTAGCATTAAAAATGGGGGAAATCAACCCCAATTCTTATTATGCAGCTAGAAGGATGTAGGTTACAAATTCGTCAGCTATGGCACTATTGACATTTTGTGCAGGGAAATTCTTTGCTGGGAGTAGGTTGTTGCCCTGTATTGTAAGAAGTTTAGCAGCATCTCGATCTCTACTCACTAGATGCAAGTAGCAACCGCCTTCCCAGGTGGCCAAATGTAACTAGAATGGATGGATGCGAGGAAGGTAATTACACCTCTAACCTCTACTGAGAAGCTCCAGGATAGAACAAAGCAGAGTTCACTCGTAAGGAAATGGAAACATCCGTACTTACAGAATGGCTCAGAAGTAGGATCTGTCCAGCATCTCTGTCCAGGTAATCTGCTTTGGGAGACAAGTTTCCAAGACTGTCTGATGGAATCACTCACCTTGGACTGGTACAGGGCCTCAGCCTCAGCCTTGCTCCTCTGAGCAATCTCCTCGTACTGGGCACGGACGTCAGCAATGATGCTGTCCAGGTCCAGAAAGCGGTTGTTGTCCATGGATAGCACTACAGATGTGTCACTTGTGTCTGACTGCATCTGGGACAGCTCCTGCAAAGCCAGGAAGACATGCCCACTCCTGAGCAGACCCAACCTGGGGATCCCAAGAACCCAAAAGTCCACAAGCTTAGGAGGGTAGACTTGGGACTGAGTGGGCGGCAGTCTTTGGCAGCAGCAGTGGCCACTTCTTTAACTAAAGAAGGAATAATTTAAATAGCTTGAATAGAGAGGAAATGGGCAGATGTCTCCCCCCACCCTCAGAAAGACAGACAGGACCCAAACTGCTTTTGGTGAACCCCTGCAAGCCATCTCCTCACAGAGGCAGGAGGCAGGCAGGTGAAGAGGGTAGGAGATGAGGGACACACATACAGCATTGTAGAGGGCCTGCAGGAAGTTGATCTCATCTGTCAGGTTCTCCACCTTGGCCTCCAGCTCCACTTTGGTCATATAGGTGGCATCAACATCCTGGGAGAGAATTCAGTCACTATCTCCTGTGTTCTAAGCATCTTCATTTCCCTCCCCTGTCTGCAAGTTGAGTGCTATCCTGGGCGTGGAGGGATGTGACAGGAGGAAAGAGCCCTGAGAACTGCTCCCAGGGAGAAATGAAACACAAGAGCCCTGAAGACTGCTCCCAGGGAAAAATGAAATGCCAGTCCAGGCATAGGCAGACACGCCCTAATAACACTGCGCAGAGCACACACCAAGGACAAGTTTCCCCCCCCCCCAAAAAAAAGGAAAAAAAGGCCATGAGGACAAGAGAAAGGACATGGGCCAGGCTGTAGGCATTATACTGAGACCAGATGAAAATAACTTGTGAGGAGGACCTGAGAGAGAACTTTCAATTTGTTGGAAAGAATTCTATCACATATAAACTTTCTTTAAAATTGTTCCTGGGAATGCATTCCTGAAGACACATTATTTCTTTTTCCATTTTCCAATCAGAGCTCAAGGCCAATTCTAACTTCTGATGGAGTCTGTACTTACTTCAGGGAAGTAAAAGACAGGAGCAGCTAGTACCTGAGCCACAGGTCTGCCCCCCTGTTCAGAAGACTAACTCCTCTACTTCTTACCTTCCCCACAAGGAAGGCCCTCCAATTAGAGGAATAGCTACTACTCCCCACAGCTAATGGGTACCAGTCTGCTTAATAAGGCAATGGAATGAGGGCTCCTCTACCTTCTTCAGGACCACAAAGTCATTCTCTGCAGCTGTACGCTTGTTGATTTCCTCTTCATACCTGTGAGAGAAGAGTCATTTCCATAAGTAACTTGGACACAGAGTTTCTTGTCTTTCCAATTTAGCTCAAGATCCATGGGTAGATCCTTGCCAGGCAGTCTGCACTCTTCTAGGTTCCTCTTGGACCCAATTAATTCAATAGCTATTTATGAAGCATTGTCTGACTATGGTGAAGAATCGCTGGTAACAGGGATCAAAGCGCTCAGCTGTTAACAGAAATGTCAGTGGTTCAAACCCAACAACCACTCTTTGGGAGAAACATGTGGCAGTCTACTTCCACAAAAATTAAGTCTCATGAACCCTATGAGGCAGTTCTAGTCTATCCTGTAAAGTCACCATGGGTTGGAATTAACTTGACAGCAATCGGTTGGTTTTTTTACTTAGGACTATGGTGATGGTGATTATTGGACACTTCTTCTCTTCGGGTTTTATTTGGATTAATCCTGGAAGGCTTTCTGGAGAAAGGCACATTTTTAACATCTATTTAAGTGAACAAAGGGAGATGGTTAAGCCAACAGTGGTTGTTGGGGGAAGTGCTTGGTGCTTTCTAGAGAACAGTAAGTACAATAATTCCATGAACTCTTGTAGATTCTTGTTGCATGAATGAAAACCAAGAATGGATCACTGAAAATGTGTCAGGTCCTTCCCCAGGAATTAATACTGTGTTACCTTATTCAGTCCTCATAACAGCTTGTGAGATAAATATTATCACTATGTCTGTTTTGTTGGCCTAGTGACAAGAAACTGCATTACAATCCCGAAGGGACACAGTTCGAGGCCACCAGCTGCTCTGCAGGAGAAGGATGGGCAATCTCCTCCTGTGCGATTAACTGCCTCTAAAAACCCACCAGAGGGTCAACTATGGGTTGGTTCTGACTCTATGGTACAGAACAACAACAACATGTCTTTTACAAATGAGGGGACTGAGGCACAGAAAAGGCAGGTGACAGACTGGGGCTTAATCAAGGCACGCAGACTCAAGAGCCTGTACTCTTAGCCATACTGCAGATAGGTTCTTATTGACAAGAGTATTAGCAAGGAAAGAAAATTTCACAGACTAGCGAGTTGTAAGAAAACTTCAAGATCATCTAGTCCAGAGTGGATTGGGTATTTTCTGGGTCTATAACATTCGTAAACGAGTTTCAGGGTGTCTTAGAATCTTGGAACTAAAAAAAATTATGTTTGAGTCTAAGCAAGTCAGTTCTGACTCGTGGTGACTTGATGTGTGTGTCAGAGTAGAACCATCCTCCATAAGGTTCTCAGTGGATTATTTTTCAGTAGATTAACAAATCTTTGGAACCTGTGTGGGGGCTCAAACCTCCAACCTTTCAAATAACAGTTGAGCACATTAACCATTGCAGACACACACATATATACATACACACACACAAAGTTATGAAAATACATATACATAGTTATGTGTATTTTCATTAGATTCAGTCCTAAAATATCTCTGCCCCACATGAGCCATTCTTTTAAAGACTGGAATTCTGAAAGTCAGGGAGGATGGAAATGAGTCCTTGAAAGCTCAGGGACAACTGGAACTGAGCGAACCCAGAGTCTAGATCTCTTGAACCGAAGACCTTATGTCTTCTACCTCTTCAGGCCCCAGCCCCACACCACCCTCAGCAACTAGAGAGAATGCACCTCTTTTTGAAGTCTTCCACCAGGTCCTCCATGCTCCTCAGCTCTCCCTCCAGTTTGTTTTTCTCATTGAGAAGTCCATTCAGGAAGTCCTTGAGGCTGCTAATGTAGTTCTCAAAAAAAGGCTCAAGGTTGTTACTGTTGGCATTAGAATTAGAACCCTGCTCCTGCAAGAGGCTCCACTTGGTCTCCAGGACCTTGTTCTGCTGCTCCAGAAATCGCACCTGCAGCCCAGTAAGAAAAGAGCATCAAGTTTTTGCCTGACGCCAACTCCAATCATCACAGCCCATGATTTCCTCAGTGCTCCAAAAGCCCCTCCTGCAAGACTACACTTTTCAAGCTTGGGAGGTTAATTCTAGGAAGCTCTGGTGGTCTACTGGTAAGAAGTAGTGTTGTAACCCCACAGGATTGCAATCTCAAATCCACTAACTGCTCTGCAAGAGACATATGGGAAATCTCCCATGCAATTCAGTACCTCTGAAAACCCTCTAGAGGGTCAGCTATGAGTTGGTTCTGATTCAACAGCACACAACAACAGTCTAACACAAACTCCAGGTGAACAACAGATTCATTGTCATGCACAGGAGGTGCAGACCTTTTTTTGGTAGATAAGGGAAACTAAAGCCCTGAGATAGTCAATTTCACATAACAAGTTAGTAACAAAACAATAGTAGAGTTGGAGTCTCCTGATACTCTACTCAGTGGTCTTCTTCCTACATCATCCATGCATTAATTCATGCATCATGTACTACTCAACGAATAGCAAGACATTCCAACATCCTACAGCAGATATAAACTCCAGGAAGTTTACACCTGAGTATACTGCACTAAGAAAGGGAAACAGAATCAGGGAGAAATGCTCTCAGGTAGCTTTTTTTTCCAGGTGAAATGGTCCCAGATGCACCAATTCTAGTTCCTGAGTGCATCATTCAAACTGAACCACTGATTAAAAATATCTCGAAATTCTGTTTGTTGCAAAAGATTTCCACACACAAGTTCAAGACCAAATGGAGCAAAAGACCGATTTGTCAGTAAACGAGCATAAAGCACGTACTGGATACTTAGGCCAAATGATGGTATCCCAGGCAAAATCTTTAATTCCTCACTGAAAATAATAAGACCTGCAGCTGAGAAGACCTTGGACAACCAGACCCCACCTTCTATGTAGAAGCAGAATTTTCTACATCACCATTTATCTTTTTGTAAATTAATTTATCCAGAGACCCAAGTGTCTGCTGAGGACGAGGTGCCTCTGAAATATCACTTGGCTTTAAGAAGTTTCACCTCTAAAAAAAAAAAAAAAAAAGAAGTTTCACCTCTGAAATACATATGATGTTCTGATGTTAACACTAACTTCTTCTCCTTCAGTTTTTCCCAGGACACTTAGATATGGTGACAAAACACCCCTCCTTCCATTCATCTTCCCAAAGAGTGTCTACAAAGTCTTCTTTAAAACCTAATGTTATGCAAGATTTACAAAAAAAATCTCCACTTTATATTTGGAGAACCTCGCAGCAGCAAACCAAGCCTAAATACCATAGAAACCAAGATGATTGTAATGGTTTTCTTGACCTGCAACACCTAGAGCACAGAAAGTCCCGGGCAACACCTCTCCAGCCTTGCCTTCACGTGTGCTCATGTGTGTACACATTAAGTGGCCTCAGCATCTGCAGCACCTCACACTGAGGTCTTCCTGTGAGAACTCTTCACCTCACCCCTCCCACTCTGCCAAAAACTCTTTGCTTCCTCTTCTTTAGGCTGAGATGACTGAGTTCTCAAAAATTCCAACTGTGGCAGAGTTGGCCACACTTTCAAAGAGAAGCAATACACATCTCCGTGAGGTGCAGCAGGAATTCTGCGTCTGAGTTTCAGAAGGGAACCGTAAAGGGACATCAGTGACAGCAACAATCTCAAGAGCAACAACCTTTATAGTGCCTCTGACGAACCCCAATGATGGGAGGATGGAGTGGACAGGAACTCCATCCAGTGAGGGTCAGGGCTATTTTGACTCTCTGCTGCTAGGTTTAAGAGGTCTATAATAACAACACTCTGCTGATATATCACCAGGGGCCTAAGGTCTAGGATGAGCTTACTTCGTTCCTTAGATCTGTAAGGAAAAAAGGAACACGAAGCCAACCCACTTGAACCAGATTTTATCTCCATTCAGATGATCTAATGAGTTGGGCTCACCTTGTCTATGAAGGAGGCAAACTTGTTGTTGAGAGTCTTGATCTGCTCCCGCTCCTGGGTTTTTACTTGCCCAAACTGAGGGTCAATTTCTACATTCATGGGCTGCAGAAGGCTCTGATTGACAGTTACTTCATGGATTCCACCTGAGAAGCCACCTGCACCACCGGGACCACCGAAGCCACCAGGACCACCGAAGCCACCAGGGCCACCGAAGCCACCAGCTCCTCTACCAAAACCCCCAGCTCCTCCTCCGAAACCTCCAGCTCCTCCTCCAAAACCCCCAGCTCCTCCTCCAAAACCCCCAGCTCCTCCTCCGAAACCTCCAGCTCCTCCTCCGAAACCTCCAGCTCCTCCTCCGAAACCTCCAGCTCCTCCACCAAACCCTCCAGATCCTCCACCAAAGCCCCTTGCTCTTCCGCCAAAACCCCCACCCATCCCTCTTCCACCACCACCAAAACCACTGCCTCCACTGGCACCCCCAAACCCTCCTGCCCGCATGCTGCCTCCAGCCACGCTGATGGAGATCTTCTTGGTCCCCCCAAGGTTGTAGAGACTCTGGCTACCAAAACCTCGTCCCATCATGGCGCAAGCAGAAGATCCGCTGCCTCCTCCCCCTGAGCGAGAGCCGGAGGAGGACTTGGTGGCGCTGATCCGGCTCTGGCCTGACACCACAGCTGAGCGGCCACTGAAGCCCTGGCGGTGGCCTCCTCCACTAGAAGACCTGCAGGACTGTTGGCTGTAGTTGGCTTGACGGCTCATGATGAACAGCAAGTTATTCCAAAGGAAAGGGAGACTCAAAAGGCTGGAGGTAAACTTAGGAACCTTCTGAAGTTTGAGCCCAAAGATAGTTCTTATATAGGCCCAGGGAGTGTGGTTGGCTTTTTGCTGCCAGCCAACTAATTGAGGTATTATCAGCTTTGGTTTGCCTGGCAGCAAGAGGCCAAGGCCAAAACTCCTAACACACCTTGATAATCACCCCAAATTTTCAAATTGCTTTGTTTTCTCAGGGTTACTCACCCGAAATAAGCTTAAATTGGAAGAGGGGCCTTCCTGCAGGGCTGGACACAACCCCTAATCCTGGGAGACTTATGCTGCCATTGTGGGAATGGCAGGTCAGCACTTCTAATCCTCCCTCTCCTATGTCCCCACTGCCACTCTGTCAGCCCGCCCATCTGGCCTCAGCAAGTCACTGGGACGGGTTATGGAGTCTTAGTAAATTCAGGCCCCAGGCAAGTACCTTGGGGGAAAGAGAAGGAAAAGGAGGGCTGTGAGGGAGAGAGACTGACAAGAAGATGGAAAATACAGAGTTAGAGAAAGCTCACAACACTCTGTCATCGAGGGGAGAGAAGATATGCATGTGAGATGCAGTAAGGAGCAGGTTACCCAACACAGGTTTCCCTGGAACCAAGACTCTGAAGGGCCTTGGAGGGTGAGTTAAGGTGAGAAGGAGTCAATCTGTAAAGGCTCTTGAAAGGGTAGGAATAAGGAATGGTTTGAGAAAAAGTAAAATCACCTTAAGAACTGTGGACCGGAGTGGTCAAGTTCACTCAAGGTGTGCAGAGAGGGGAAAGATAGAGGAAGACCCATCAGGAAGAGAAAAGGCTATAATAGACCAGGAGGTCCAAGTCAGAGAAGCCACCATCAGCTTACACTCAGAAAATGAATCTATAATTTGCAAAGGCCTCTTTCCCTCCTAACATGAGAGATAAAACTTACACTACTAATGTTATTGTTGTTATTAGGTGCCATAGAGTTAAATACAACTTATAAGAGTCCCTGTGAACAACAGACCTGAATCCTGTGCTATCCTGTGCCGTCTTCATCATCCTTGACATGCTTGAGCCTATTACTGGAGTCACTGTGTCAATATATTTTAATTGAGATCTTCCTCTCTTTCACTGACACTCCACCTTTACAAGTATGATATTCCTTTCCAAGAAATAGCCTCTCCTAGCAACATGCCCAAAGTATGAGAGATGAAGCGTTGCAATTCTTGCTTCTAAGAAGCGCTCTGGCTGCACTTTTTCTAAAATATATTTGTTTATTCTTTTGGAAGTTCATTAGATATTCAGAACTCTTCTTCAACACCACAACTGAAAGGTGTCAATTCTTCTGTCATCCTTATTCATTGTCCAGTGCTCAGATACATAGCAAGTGATTGAAAAGACCATGGCTATGCTGCCACAGGCCTCAGCTGGAGACAGAAAAGGGTGTTCTGTGCCATAATTTTGTATGCCTAATTGTCTTTATGGTTTGCTGTTAGAGGTACACCATCTATAACAGTCAGTTCCTTATACTGGGGATTGATCTGCACGCCGCCAATTATTTTATAGCTGGGTTTACAATTGACAGCATCATGTTAGATGGAGAAGACATTGAGATTGTTAACAGCTTCAGCTTGCTTGGCTCCACAGTCAACACTCTTTATACTAGCAGTGAGGAAATAAAATGACAAATTGCATTGAGAATGTCTGCTGTCAGGGACCTCTTCAGAGTACTCCAGAGAAACATCAGTCTAGAGATTAAGTTGCACCTGATCCAGGCCATGGTCTTTGCAATTACTTGCTATGCATCAGAGAGCTGGGGAATGAATAAGGAAGACAGAAGAAAAATTGATGCCTTTCAGTTGTGGTGCTGGAGAAGAGTCTTGAACATACCATGAACTGCCAAGAGAATAAAAAGATCTGTCCTGGAGAGGGTGAAACCAACTTTCTTCTTGGAGGCAAGGATTTTTGAAGCTCCATCTCACATACTTTGGACACATGGCCAGGAAGGACCAGTCCTTAGAGAAGGACATCATGTTTGGAAAGATGGAGGGACAGGGTGGGAGGGGAAGACCCTGGATGAGGTGGATAGGCACAGTAACTGGAGTGATGGGAGTAGATGTGTCAGAGACAGTGAGATTGGTTCAAGGTAGAGGAGAGTTCAGAGCTATTGTACATAGGGTCTCTATGAGTTGCAAGTGACTCGACAGCACATAACAACATGTATATGCTTGCTTATTTATTGTTGGCTCCTATTAGTATAGCACATGTCTGTCAGTCTGCTGTGCTAGTATAACTTGTGGGTTGTTGTGGTGCCAGATCAAATGCCAGAAGTGTTGCCCATGGATTACATGGATTACAGCAGAGCTCCTGGATTAAGACAGACTAGGAAACAAAACCAGCCATCCACTTCTAAAATAGCAGGGCTTCGAAAACCCCATGAACAACAGAGATGTGTGAGGAGCTATAGTTGTAAAGGTAGAGCCCAAATGAGAAATCACTCAAATATGAGAAGAAACAGCTGCAAGCAATCACTAATAATTGGAACATGAAATGTACAAAGTAGGAATGTAGGAAAACGGAAAGTTGTAAAAAATGAAAGAGAACCCATGAAGGTTGACATTCTAGGTATCAGTGAACTGAGATGGACTAGCAGGGGCCACTTTGAATCAGACAATTATGCTGAGAATGAAGTGTTGTGCTGTATTCATAATTAAAAGGATCATAGGGTCACTATGAGTCACCTGGGACTCGACGGCACTTAACAACAATAACATCAACATAGAATAGAGAGTGATCAGTTGGCCCAGTGGACAGAAAGAGATGCTACCAAGCCAAAGGTGGGTGACTTTTAATCCGCGGCCCTAGGGCCTGTCTTTCATTATTTTTGTTCAAACATTCCTCTAGATCATATAGCCCTGATGTGTCCACTTGCCATACAGTGGTAACTTGTGGTTGCTGTGAGGCTGAACACTGTGACACTGAGGTGTCAAATGTGTTAATGGCTGGTTACCCAAGGCAGACAGTGTTGGGTGGAGCTCCCCGATTAAAATAAGCTTGGAAGCAGGAGTGGCATCCACTTCCGTAATAGCTTGCCTCTGAAAATTCTATGAACCTGGAGAGAGGATGAAAGACGCACAAGTGTTGAGGACTTTCCTTCATAGGGTCTCTGTGAGTCGCCTGCGACTCAACGGCACTTCACAACAACAACAACAACAATCCTAAAATACAATGTTGTGGGTATAGGATACTATCTAGAGTTGTTAGGTGCCTGCCATTAAATTGACTTGGACTCATTAACAGCCCTTGGACAAGACCTTTCCCAATGCTGTGCTGTTCTCTCTGGACTTCTGCTTTGCATAAGCCCATTGTTGTGGTCACTGTATCTATCTCACTGAGAGTCTTTCTCTTTCTCAGTGACTCTCCACTTTTCCAAGTCTGATGTCCTTCTCCAGGGACTGGCCCTTCCTGATAACATACCCAAAGTACGTAAGACAAAGTCCCACCATCCTTGATGTTACGAGAGATTTTGTTCTTGTTGTTGTTCTTTTAGCACCTAATAGTATATTCAACATTCTCTGCCAACTCTGTATTTTAAAGGCATCAATTCTTAAATCTGCAAATGAAGACAGAAGGAATACACAGTCATTGTACCAAATAAGAATTGATTGACAGTCATTTCAAAAGATTGATGTTGCATATTGAGTCAGCACAGGAGAGGAAGACCCTGGATGAGACAATGACGTAGCAATGGGGGCAGGTGTATCATAGTCAATGAAGTTGGCTCAGGATAGGCAAGGTTCAGAGTGACTGTGCATTGGGTCACTAAGAGTCATAGTTGACTTGACAGCACTTAAAAACATGCTCAAGAACCAGTAATATTCAAGCAAACAATTCAAACTGCATTGGGCGGGAAAAAAAAAACACCCTTAAGTCTTCAGGATTTGATGAAACATGAATTGAGGTGCTTCAAAAACAGATTTAGTCCTGAGTGTGCTCATTCATCTCCGCCAAGAAATTTGAAAGACAGCCACCTGAACAACTGACTGCGCCCACAAAAAAAAGAAAATAAGATTTTCAACAGAATCTGAAAACCCACTGGAGGCTCAGCTGTGGGTCAGTCCCAACATGTCAGTACACAACCACACATCATTAATATCACAGACAAGTAAGTGCTGAAGTTAATTCAACAATGGCTGGAGCAGTAGATTGGCAGGGAACTTCCAGAAAGTCAAACTGGATTAAGATGAGGAAGAAGAATAAGGGATAGCATTGCTGATAGCAAATGAATCCTGGCTGAAAGTAGAAAATCTGTGTGCACCTTAACAAATTTATAGATAGAATTGCAAAGAATGGCTAAATCCAGAACCTACACCACATAGGAAGCTTGAGTTTCTCAGCAGTAAAATTTCAAAATGATGATTTATTCTAAGAGCGTTGGTAAAATAATGCACAAAACAAGTTCTAAGTTCTCTGTAAAATGTAATGTGCTCTTTGTCATATAACATTTCCCTCCAACAAATAACAACTTTAATGACCCCATACTAGATGACAGCAAAATCCAAGATGCCCAGTGAGTTTCTATGGAGCCCAGCCTCCTTTTTAACTGTTTTTCCTCCATTACCTCTTCCAATGTGGCCTTCTCATGACTCTCAGATTACAGGGTCCTGCAAAACCCCTCTTCTATCACCTCTTCTTTGCTCATCCCTTTATTTCCTGGCAGTTCAACACTTGTACTTTCACTAGAAATACCTAGACGTCACTCTCTGTGAACTATCTGGGAGAAACAGCACGTTAGCCAGGGACAAGTCAAACCATAGGAAAGTTAAAAAAAAATGTACTGCTGTTCCCTTCAAGCACACAAGTCATGCAAGACCTTCAAATAAGGCTGGCTAAGAAAGTGGGGGCAAGTAGAAATTCCTTCTGATAGAGCTCTGCCTCCTTCAGAATTCAGTGTTCTCAAGCTGTCAGAGTTTCCATATACATGTATAGAAG